TTATTCGATTTCTTTGTTTGTGTGTTATTTAAATTCACTGAATTCTTTTATCATGTTTATAATTGTTCTTTTGATTTCCATGTCCTGCATTATCTCTAGGGACTTCTCATTGTATTCTTCTAGAGGACTATTTGTATTTGGTGGGGCTATGTTATTTTGGTTTTTCATGTTATTATTTTTTCTCTGTGACTTTGACATGTGAATTTCTGTTGTAGTTTCTGATTCTTGTGTGAGACTCAAGCCTTAATGTTTAGGTCTGCTTCTTTTTGTAAACTTTATGTGATCTTGTGGTTTACTTGTTGGGCACGAAAAGCTGGTTGGTCTAGGCTTCCGGTTCTCTTTTTTGATTTTATATTGGAGTGGCCAAATTGCTTTCATCTTCAGGAGTTCCCACAGAGGTCCAAGTCAGATGAGGATCAGATTCTCTCAGGCTTTCTCCTGAGGTCCAGATCCCTCCAGGAAAGATGTTGCTCTCAGGAATTTGGGGGCTGGACTGGCCTGGGAGCAGCACCCAGGAAAATGTTCATCTCGGGCAGCTGGTGGCCATGTCACCCAGGGAAACAGAGGGAGGTGAGGGTGGGACCAGGCCCAGAGGGCTCCTCGGGACCTCCAGAAGGAACTGGGTTGGTCTGGATGGAAAGGATCAGGAAGCAGTGGTGGCTCCAAGCTGAGCTGTCAGCCCCAGTGTCTGGGGTGCCAAGACAAGAACTGGGCCAGTACCCAGGATAAGAGGAGAAATGGGGTGGGGGAGCTGGGAGGGTGAATGAGGCTGGGGGAGACAAGTCACGGTGGGCACCACTGGACTTAACCAGGAGAGAGGCCTGCAGGTTGTGCAGCCCAGGGAAGCAGAGGAGGTGAGGGTGGGACCAGGCCCATTGGGCTCCTGGGGACCTCCAGAAGGAACTGGGTTGGTCTGGGTGGAAAGGATCAGGAAGCAGTGGTGGCTCCGAGCCAAGAGGTCAGCCCCAGTGTCTGGGGTGCCAGGACAAGAATTGGGCCAGTACCCAGGCTAGGAGGAGAGATGGAGTGGGGGATCTGGGAGGGTGAATGAGGCTGGGAGAGTCAAGGAGCAGTGGGCACTCTGGACTACCCAGGAAAGAGGCTGGCGGGTTGTTCTGATTTTTTTTATTTTTAAAAAAAGTCTATGTGTGAGCTGGGTGTGGTGGCACATGCTTTTAATCCCAGCACTTGAGAAGCAGAGGGAGGTGGATCTCTGTGAGTTCGAGGCCAGCCTGGTTTACATAGTGAGTTCCAGGCCAGCTGGGGCTACAGGAGACCCTGTTTCAAAGAGACCAAAAAAAAAAAAAAAAATGTCTATGTGTTAAGAGTGTTTTGCCTGCAGCGCACCCATGTTGTGTATAAAGACATAAGAGGACATCAGAACCCCTGAAACTGAAGTTATAGACAGGTGTTGCCACCACATGGGTGCTGGGAAATGAACCTGGGTCTCCTGCAAAAGCAGCCAGTGTTCTTAACCACTGAGCCATCTCTCCGGCCCCTCAACCCCTGTGCATGATTTTAAAGTATAATGAATTAATTATTTGGGGAAAAAAAAGAATCACTGAGTCATATAAGCTCTTCAAGTGTTTAGATATCTCATTACTCAACATCACAGAATCACATTCATTAATAACATGACCCACATAATCAGTGAGGTCTCTGAGTGTTCAGACACTGTTTCACTCATCATGGTGAATAGGAATTTTCCAAAAGTTAAGTGTGTGTTTGAAAGTTCTATTTTATCATTAGCAGTGAATATTGCCAGTATTACTTCATTCATTTTTCATCAATAAAAAACAAAAACAGATCTTTAAAAATAAATAACTTTACCTGAACGTAATCATAAAAATATTTTAGAAAGTCAGTTGTAGTGATGTATGCCTATAATCTCAATACTCAGGAAGATGAGGAAGGAGGAAGGCTTGCCTAGGCTACATAGTGAAATCTGTCTCTTTAAAAATATATTAGGTGCTGGAGAGATGACTCAGCAGTTAAAAGCACTGGCTGCTCTTGCAGAGGACCTGGGTTTGATTCCCGGCATCTACATGGTGACTAACAACTGTTCTTACCTTCAGTTCCAGGGGATCTCTAATGCCCTCTTCTGACTTCCACAAGCACTGCACAACACGGATGCACTTACATACATGAGGCAAAACACTCATACACATACAATAAATAAATAATTTAAAAATAGTCTGGTGAAGAAGTGATGGTATGGCAAGGTGAGATGACAGACTAGATATATGCTCCACTCTTCAGCTCAGTGACTGACGCATAGCCCAGCTGTGCTTCACTTGCCTCTGCATCTTGAATTACCTTACACAATAGCAGTGGGGATGAATTTTTTTTTTTCAGTCTTTTTGAGACAGGGTCTCCCTGTAGCCCCAGATGACCTGGAACTCGTTATGTGGATCAGGCTGGCCTCGAACTCACAGAGATCTGCCTGCCTCTGCTGGGATTAAAGGCATGCGCCACCACACCTGGCTGGGGATGAATTTTTAAAGAGACCTTAGGGCTAAGAGTATAGCCCAATGGTAGAGTGTGTGCTTAATATACACAAAGAAAAACAAATATTTGGTTAATAGAAAGTTAATTTTATATTCATAAAGAAGGAAATCTAGAAGGATATACAGAAAATGTTAATGAGTTAGTGTTGGATAATAAAATTATAAGTACTTTTATTTTCTGAATTTAAAATCAATTTCTCATTTATTATAAAAATGTATTACTTTTATAAAATATTCAATCTCTGAAATATTTTAAACATTACTTATTACTCAATTATTATTCAGCATTTTCATATTTTTAGAGATTTATCTTTGGCCTTAAGTTATTTATTCCTTTCTAAAATAAGGAGATAGGAAAATATTCTTACAGTGCTACTGAATTTCTAAGGAATCATTAAAGGGCAACTCATATATTATGGCTGTTCAAAACAACCTGACACACATAAGAAATCTACCTACCTTTAGAAAATTGGGGTCCTCTTTGCGCATATAAAAAGGATCATACTCTTTTGGATCATAATGTTCTATAAATGCATTTCCCTGTGAATATAAAACCACACATAAGAAAGAGGTACACAATTAGTTGGATATCAGGACTCAAAAGTTAAACAGTTTTGTCTATTTTTATTTGGGGGTTGTTTTTGTTTTTGTTTGGTTGTTTCTTTTGTTTTGGTTCATAGGTTCAAACCAAGGGCACTGAGCCACACCCACAGCCCCACACAGTTCCCACAGTTCCATGTTTTGCTTCAAAATGGCATCAATGCCTTCTTCCCCTTCACATACCAAAAGGCTTCAGTGGGTAAGGTGCTTGCTATCTAATCGGACAACCTGAGTTCCATCTCCAGAACCAACACAATGAAAGAAGAGAACCAACTTCCACACATTGTTCTGACTTCTGTGTGTGATCATACAAAAACATATGAAGAAATAATTATATGTGAATAAATAAATAAAATTTAATTTAAAAAATAATACTTCAGGGGCTGGAGAAATGACTCAGCAGTTAAGAGCACTGGCTGTTCTTGTAGAAGACCCAGGTTCGAATTCCAGCACCTACATGGCAGCTAACAACCAGCCATAACTCCTGTTCCAGGGGAGCCAATGGCCTCTTCTGTCCTCCCCAGGCACTGCACAACACAGGTGCACTTACACATATTACACAAGCATAACTCTCATACATAAAAATAAACAAATATTTAAAAATCTAAAAAAATAATACTTCATTTACACCCAAATATAGATTGAACATAAATAGAAGAAAAAGAGGCAGAAGTTTGGATTAAACAGCAAGTGAACAAAGATAATCATGATTTTTTAAACTAACTGTAAAAAGTATCAAATGGGAACTGGAGAAATAGCTCAGTGGTTAAGAGCACTGGTTGTTTTTGCTAGGTTGTGTTCCTAGCACTCACATGGCAGCTAACAACTGTCCATAATTCTGGTTCCAGGGAAGCAGCACCCTCTTCTGGCCTCTGCAAGCACCATACACAGGGGGAACTTACATGCAGGGAAAACACTCATACACATAAAATAAAAATAAATATTTTTTAACTATTTAAAAAGTATTAAATAACTTCTTAGTACCTTCTTATTTACATGTTTCAAAAAATTGTCTAATTCTTGTTGTCTCCTTTTTTTAATCTTCTTATGTGAACAAATTTTTTCTACAATTTTCTTCTGGAGAGGATCTGCTACATGATCGGCCCATTTTTTATATAATATCTCTTTTCTTCTTGCATTTAAGAATTCGTGATGATATAAAAATGTATCTAGCTCCTAGTAGGCAGTGATAGAAAAGACAAATATATTATCCCAAAGCTTTCTTGCTCTAAAATTTTCTTAATTTCATAAACCTAAATTATTTCTAAGAATAACCCATAAATTCATTCATTAAGTATCCTGTATTTGGCTTCTGCCATTCTGCCCACACTGTGTTGAAAGCAGAAATAGATAGATAATAGAGGCAGCATGCCTACACTTCCTGACTAATAATTCCAATATATGGGGTTAGTGAGATGGCTCAGCAGGTAAAGGCACTTGTCACTCATGTCTGACAACATGAGTTTGATCCCCAGAATCCACGTAAAGATGGAAGAAAGAACCAAATTCACAAAGTTGCCCTCTGGCATCCACATGTGTGCCAGGATATCTATGCCTCCCCCACAATCACATATACATACACACATACAATGATACCAAAAGTTTTTTTTAATATCAAATATACAACACAGTATAAAGAAGGATAATATAGAAATTTTGTATACATTGCTAGTCAAGACACAATAGAAAAATCATTTTCGTTATATGTACGTGTGTATGCATGTATATTTTCCCATGTGGATGCATCTGGAGACCGGAGGTGACATCAGGATGTCAATCACTTCTTTATTTATTTATTTATTTATTTATGACGAGCTCCCTCAATAAACATGGAGCTCACCATTTGAGGCTAACCTGCCTGGCCAGCAAGCCCCCAGGATCTACCTGTCTCTGCCTCATGGCCCAGCACTGAGATTACAGGTATGGAATGACACACTGAACCTTCACATGGGTGCTAAGGATCCTAACTCAAGTCTTTGTGCTTCCATAGCAAGCACTTTACCTGTTGAGCTACCTCTCCAGCCCAGAAAAACCATTTTCTAGACTCAAGATTTCTAGTCTGATGATTCCTCAAAAAGTTCCTTCAAGAGAAATAGTATACAAACCAGCAATTTATGTATACTCCTTAGATTATATACCCAAAAGTATTAAAACTAAGAATTTGAATAACTATTTGCATACCAATGTTCATCACTACATTCACAATAACTGAAAGATGGAAGCAACACAAGTATTCATTACCAAATGAATTAATAAAATATAGTATATACATACAATGCAATGTAATTCAGCCATAAAAGGGAATGAAGTTTTGACATATGCTATGGACAATCTTTAAAAATAGTATGCCAAAATTAAATAAGCCAAACCCAAAAGGACAAAGATAGGAGTCTACATACATGAAATATCTAGACTAGGCAAAATTCATAGAGACATAAAGTAGAGATTATCAGGGCTTTAGCGGAGGGAAAAATGAGTTTCTGCTAACTGAATACCAAGTTTCAATTTGGGGTGATGGCATGGTTAGTTCTGTCAACTTGACACAATCTAAAATCACCTGGAAGAGAGTTTCAATGAGCAACTATCTAGATGAGGTTGGCCTGTGGGCATGTCTGCAGGGGATTACCTTGATTGCTTTAATTGATGCAGAAAGACCCAAGCTGAAAATGGGTGGCACCATTATAATTTGGGGCCCTGGAACGTCTAAGACTGGAGAAAACTCCTGAGTACTAAGCATGGATGCATGCATTCCCTCTCTGCTTTTGACTGTGGATATAATGTAACCAGTTGTCTAAGCTTCCTGCTGTTTTGACTTACCAGAAATAGTGAGCTAAATAAATCCCTTTCCCCCTAAGTTGATTTTGTCAGGATATTTTATCACAGCAACAGAAATGAAACTAGAACTAGCAAGGAAAAAATGTTGGAAGGCCGGGCATGGGGGCGCATGTCTTTCACCCAACACTTGGGAAGCAGAGGCAGGCAGATCTCTGAGTTCAAGACCAGCCTAGTCTACATAAAGAGTTCCAGGCCATCTGGGTATACAGGGAGACCCTGTCTCAAAAAGACCCCCCAAAAAAATGTTTTGGAAATACATAGTGGAGGTGGATGGTAGCATAACATTGTGAATATAATTAATAACACGGAATGAACTCTAAAATAGTAAAATGGAGATCACAAGATGGTTTAGTTGGTAAGGGGGCTTGCTGAACAAGCCTGACAACCTGAATTTGATCCTGGGTACCCACATGGTAGAAAGAGACCCAGCTCCCACAAGTTGTCCTCTGACCTCCACACATAAACACTATGGCAAGCATGTGCCCACACCTGTGCATTATGCAGATACACACAAAATAAACAAATGTAAAAAAGAAAGAGAGAGAGATTGAGGTTTACCAGTTTTAGTATTGATAAAATACATGGCATTCTGTTACCAATAGGCCAACAGTTAAACCCTGTGCTTACCTATTTGATGTGAGTAATAACTGGCCAGAGCTAGATCACAACTGTTTAGGATTAGCTCAACTATAGTAACTCAGTAGAAACTGTACTGAGAAGAAATTACGTGAAGTGAGTACAGGAACATTCTCATGTCTGTGTTGAAGGAAATCCTCCAAAGTGTAGGAAGACTAGAAGTCCATTAAAACACTCTAAAGAGATCTCTTAAGGTTAATCTCAGTTGCTAATGAGTGTTTTAAATTCTATTTTCTAAAATTATAGAGTAGATACTACATTGAAAAATGAAAAAAGATAAACCTTATAACCAGTTCTTACCTTTATTACATAATTTTCTCTGTATAATATTGATTGAATAGCTGCATCAATATCTTCTTTAGCTAAGGCCTAAAAGAACAGAATTAAGCAGAAAATAAAATCTTGAAAAAATTAGTATTATCAGTGCTTATTATATTTGTATGTGACAGGCAAGTGCCTCAAAAGTTCTCTCTCTGCAAATCCAATTTTTCTATATCACCAAGTGCCTTTTTTAAATAAATAATTTATTGAGAATTTCATACATGCAATATAAGGTGTTTTGATCAAATCCATGCCCACTCCCTCCCCTCCAACATTCCCCCCTCTGAAGATGTAACCCTCCCATCACTTTTTTCTGATAGCTTCATGTACTCTTTTCTTTCTTCTTCTTTACTTATTTTTATGGGGCTTTTGGCTACTCTAACATTCCCCCCTCTGAAGAGGTAACCCTAAAATCTTTTAAGGATTAGATACAAGCTCCCAAATACTTTCAACATTTTTGGCCTTTGGAACAGAGTACGTTACTAAGAGGTCCAAGGTCACTTTGACTTTTAGCCAAGAAACTGGGGTCTTTTCTTTAGGGTCTTTTTACCCTAACTGCCTAGTCAATTCCTACCTCCTATTCTTATCACACCGTCCTCTCAAGAGGTTGCCCAAATTAGGGAATAGGGATGCAGACCACTCTGGCTTCTTCCATGCTGAACAGGGACACCAAGTGCCTTTTTAAACACTATTTTGATCTTTATGATCTTGGTTATAGCTCGTTCTAAAGCAAGAAATAATTCAGCTCACAGATATTTTGAGACCCAGAACAATTAAATGATTTACCCAGAATCATAATTAGAAAAACACATCTGATAAAATGTTTTTACCTTTATGGACAAAATAGATACACACAGGCCTCTCTTTGAGGCTTTTTCTTGAGTATTATTTTTTTTAAATGTGTATGAGTGTTTTGCCTGCATGTATATAAGTGCAACACATAAGTGCAATGCTCAGGGAGGTCAGAAGAGAGCGTCAGATCCCCTGGAACTGGAGTTACAGACTGTTAGCCACCATGTGGATGCTGGAAACCTCTGCAAGAGCCGCTACTGTTCTTAATCACTGAGAAATTTCTCCATCGCCTATTTGAGGCTTTCTGGCTATATAAAACAGACTAATCCAGTCTTAAGTCTTAAATGTATAAGAATATGTCAGCAGTCTCCTAAAAGCTTGGGTCATCTAAGATAAACACATAACTAGAAAATAGCCACTAATATAAAATAATACATACAATTATACATGAAATATAAAATCTTTAACACTGTTTTTTTGAGACAGGGTCTTATTTTGTAGTCCAGCATGGCCAGGAACTCATTACATAGCCCCAGCTGAACTCAAACTAGTGAATACTCCAACTGAGTCTTCAAGTGCTGGGATTACAGGTCTCTACCAATAAACCCAGCTTTTTCTTATATTCTTCTAGCTAATTTTTCCATGACAATTGATCAAGTACTTGAAAGACTGAAACAACTTTTGTCAAAGTCAGTAGGGACATAAACATTAACAGAAAGAAATACATTTAACATTAGAGAAGATCCTGTAACTATCAGCTAAACTTTATGGGGTTTTATTGTTGGGTTTTTTTTTTTGGGGGGGGGGGGTTGGTCTGAGACAGGGTCTCCCTGTACTCCCAGCTGGTCTGGAACGCACTGTGTAGACCAGGCTGGCCTTGAACTCATGGAGCTCTGCCTGCCTCTGCCTTCTGAGTGCTGAAAACTAAAGGCATGTGCCACCATGGCCTGCTTAAATTTTATATATTTTTTAGAAATATTTTATTTATTATTTTTATTATTTTATGTGTATGAGTGTATTGCCTGCATGTATGAGATTGCACCCGAGTCATGCAATGCCGCAGAGGTCAGAAGAGGGCTTTGGATTCCCCTGGAACTGGAGTTCAGGACAGTTCATAGGTCCCATGTGGGTGCTGGGAATCGAACCTGGGTCCTCTGAAAGAGCAGTCAGTGTTCTTAACAGCTGAGCCATCCCTCCAGCCCCAAATTTTATGTATTTTTATTTTAAACCATTTTGCAGTTTTGCAGATAAAACTCGGAGCCTAGTACCTGCAAGGCAAGCACTCTACCTACCACTTTAGGGGATAGTTCAGAACAATATCAATTCTTTTCATTTTTGTAATAAATCTACCACAATTAAATATCTACCAAAAATGAAGCACCATCCAAGCACAGAATTATTTTTGAAAGCCTCTTATTATTCCATAAAAATGAAATATTCTTAGGGCTAACAGTAAATCAGTAATGGAATACATGTTTACCATAGATAAAGCCCTGGGTTCAATCTTTAGCATTTATAAAAAAGAGGAAAATATCCTCAAATTAACCATCAGAAAAGTAGTTATCCAATCTCACTTTTTTTTTTTTTTTTTTTTGGTCTTTTTGAGACAGGGTCTCCCTGTAGCCCCAGCTGTCCTGGAACACATCTTGTAGGCCAGGCTGACCTTGAACTCACAGAGATCCACCTGCCTCTGCCTCCTGAGTGCTGGGATTAAAGGCGTGTGCCACCACACCCAGCCCCAATCTCACTATTCTTATTCCAAAACAGATGAGTAAAACCTCACAATCTCAGGCTGGAGAGATGGCTCACAGTTAAGAACACTGGTTGTTCTTGCAGAACACCTGGGTTCAAATCCCAGTACCCACATGGCCACTAACAACTGTCCATAACTCCAGTTCCAGGGGATCCAACAGCTTCTTCTGTCCTCCATGGGCAATGCATGACACTGGTACACTTACCTACATGCAGGCAATACACACAGACACATAAAATAAAAATAATTAAAAACAAAACAAAACAAAAAAAACCTCACAATCTAAGAATTACCCTCTCCTATTAACGTGGGAATTAAATAACAATTAGAAACTTAGAAAATCCTCAGGGTTTGTTTGGGTCTTTTTGTTTGTTTTGTTCTGTTTCATTTGTTTTTAAAACAGAGTCTCGGTTTGTATTCCAGACTGGCCTGGAACTTGCTTAGGGTGGCTTCAGACTGGTGATTCTTCTGCCTCAAAAATCCCAAAATCTGGGATTACAAGAGTGTGCCAACACCCTTGACTTCAGAATTTTCTTTCCTGTTTTTGCAGAGTTGCTGTTTCTGAAAAGTCTGTTGCCCTCCACTAAGTACTGAATTATTATTCTAACTCCAGATTTAAAACATGGAAAACAGCAATCTGAAGATACTAGAGAGTGACCAAAAGCAGAGAGAAACTAGAGGGGAGTCACCAGGTGGGCAGAACAGAGCACTGGGTGAACTCACATTCATTCTCATTCTCTCTGCCCACCCCCTCTCTCTCATATGTTATCCAGAGCTAAAAAGGGTGGCTAAAACATACATGTGATCTTGCTGGTTCAGGAATTAGAATGCAAAGTTCACGGCAACCATAGATTTTTTTTTTTTCTAACAGTGCTGAGGATTAAGCCCAGGGCATTGTGCACACTAAGCAAATACTTTATCACTGAACTACTTGCTCAGCCCCAACCACTGGAAGATGGGAGGTGAGAGTAATAGCTAAGGCAACCATAGAAAGTGTGCCACAAATTCTGTAAAAGAACTGGCCAAATCTCTGACGAACACTTGAACCATTTATGCATAAAGCAGACTCTATGAAGCTCAACTAAAGCTTATGGAGAGTAATTAGTGACTTTAGTTGCCAACAGGTGAAGGACAGACCAAGTTTGGAGTCTGAGTTTAACAAAGTCAACTGCCTGATAAGTTTAATATTCTCCATAGGAACATAAAAGAATCCAGACCCTCTATAATGCAACTTTTTAAATTTATTATTTTATGTGTATGAGTTTACTGCCTGCATGTATGTGTGTGCACCCGTGTTGTGCAATGCCTCAGAGGTCAGAAGAGGGTGCCGGATTCCCCTGGAACTGGAGGACGGTTCATAGCCGCCATGTGGGTGCTGGGAATAGAACCCAGGTCCTCTGCAAGAGCAGTCAGCACTCTTAACTGCTGAGCCATCTCTCCAGCCCCTATAATGTAACATTGTAACGCCTAAAAAATAACCTAAAATTGGTAGATACGAGGAACAGAAAAATGTTAAGACAAAAAATCAGTCAGTAGAAACCAGCTCTGAGACAGTCCATATGTTATAATTGGAAAATAAGGATTTTAGGGAGGGGTGGGCATGGTGTACATGCCCATAATTCCACTTATTCCAGCTACTCAGGAGACTGAAGCAGGAGGATGAAGAGTTGAAGGCCAGCCTGGGCAACACAGTGAAGCCCTATCTCAAAAGTAAAAAACAAAAAGAATTTCTGAACTGCTAAAAATTTGTTAATAATGAGCAGAAAAACTTAGCAGAGAAACAGAAACTGAAGAGGAACCAATAAAAGATCTAATTCTTAAACTTTATTATGTATTTATTTATGAGACAGGGTCTCCCTGTAGCCCCAGCTGACCTGGAACTCCCTATGTAGACCAGGTAGGCCTCAATCTTACAGAGATCCACCTGCCTCTGCCTCTTGAGTGCTAGAATTAAAGGTGTGCAATACCACACCAGACTCAATTCTTAAATTTTAAAAGCAAACAAATTTCTGTGAGTTTAACAGAGTAAAAATTAATAATAATAGTGAACCTGAAGATGTATCACAGAAATAATTCAGTCCAGAGCCAGACTCAATGACACATGCCTGGAAAACTAGCCTTCAAAAGGTTAAGGCAAGAGGATCTGGAGGTTGAGGACAGCCTGGGCTATTTAGAGAGAGACCTTGTCGGTGGAACAGAAGGATAGAGGCAGAGGGAGAAGGAAAGGGAAGAAAAATAATATTTGAGAGAGGAAGGAAGTTTTTGGAAACTATAAGCCCACAGATACAAGAACTTCAATACACTCCACGTAGTGGAGGAACTAGAACCCCCATACACTAATGACAAGACTATAAAATGGTACAGTTGCTATGGAAACCAATTTAATAGTTTCTCAAAAAGTTAGATATAGAGCAAGTCCACTATCAGTTCCATAAACAAGAGAACTAAAAATATTTTCACACCAAAAGTTGTAGGCAAATGTTCGTAAGACATGTTCATGATAACAAAACACACAATTCAAAATTCAGTCACTAATGAAGCAAAAATGTGGTTTGCATGCATTGAGATAGTATTTGGCCATGAAAAATGATGAAGTTAGGGGCTGAAGAGATGGTTCAGTGGTAAAAGAGGGCTTGTTGCTCTTGCAAAGATTGGTTCCCAGCACCCACATTAATACAGCATGGATGAACCTTGAAAGCATTGTTTTAAGTGGAAGAAGCCAGTCACAAAGGACTACGTGTTATGTATGATTCATTTGCACAAAATGTCCAGAATAGGCAAATCCATAGATAGAAGGAGATTGGTGTTACCAATAGTTGGGGGTAGGGTGGAGATGAGCCAAAGGATATAAAGTTTCTTTTTGGCATGGCGAAAATGTTCTAGAATTAAGAAAGTGAGGAAAGTCATATAGCCTTGAGATATACTAAAAACTAATGAGGGGATGGAGAGATGGCTCAGTGTTTAAGAGCACTGGCTTCATGCTAGGTATGGTAGCACATCCCAGCACTCAGGAGGCAGAGGCAGGTGGATCTCTGTGAGCTCAAGGCCAGTCTGGTATACATAGTAAGTTCCAGGACAGTTGGGGTTACAGGGAGACCCTGTTTCAAAAAGACCACCCCCGCAAAAAAATAAATAAATAAAAAACAGCACTGATTGCTCTTGCAAATGACCCTGGGTTCAGTTCCCAACACCACAAGTGAACTTACATACATGCAGGTAAAACACTCATACACATAAAATACAAATAAATTAATTAATTTTAAATGACTATACAAAAGGGGGCTGGAGAGATGGCTCAGGGGTTAAGAACACTGATTGTTCTTGCAGAAGACCCGGGTTCGAATCCCAGCACCCACATAGCAGTTAACAACTGTCCTTAACTCCAGTTCCAAGGGATTCGATGGTCTCCTGTTCTCCACAGGCATTGCATGACATGGGTACACTTACCTACACACAGGCAATACACACATACACATAAAAAATAAATAAAAATTTTTTTTAAAAAGACTATACAAAAAAATTTAAGACTGTATCAAATGTTGGCTAGAACATGAAAACAGTAACTATTACACACTACTAATGGGAATGCAAAATAAAGACTTTAGGAAAGTTTGGCAGCTTCATAACAAGTCAATTTCATTTACCATATAACTCAGTCATTCCACAGCTAGGTATCTACACAAGAGAAATGGAAACATGCCCATACAATAACATGAATGTGAATGTTTAGAACAGCTTTTTTTTTTTTTTTTTTTTTTTTTTGAGACAGGATCTCCCTATAGCCCCAGCTGGTCTGGAACTCACTTTGCAGACCAGGGTGGCCTCAAACTCACAGAGATCTGCCTGCCTCTGCCTGAGTGCTGAGATTACACCACGCCCAGCTAGAACAGCTTTATAATGGTTCCAAACTGGAAAGCACCCAAATGTCCATCAATAAGATGGACAGATTGGGCTATTTCCATATATTAGTCAAAAAGAGGAAGAAAATATTGACTGAACAAGACCATGGATGTATTGCAAAATAATTTTAAATGAAAAAAGTCAGATAAAAAGAAGATGTAAGTTCCCATTTGCACAAAATATTTTAAACAGGAGCCTGGACAGATGGCTCAGCAGTTAAGAGCACTAACTGCTCCTGCAGAAGACCAGGGTTCAGTTCTCAGCACCTACATAGCTGCTTACAATTGTCCATAACTCCAGTTCCAGGGGATCTGACGCCCTCTTCTGGCCTCTGCAGGCATTTCATGCACATGGTGCACTTACATATATGCAGGCAAAGCACTCATACACATAAAACAAATGATTTATAATTAAGCACAAACTATAGTGACAAAGTGGTCACAGAAAGTGAAAATGAGGGAAGTGAGGGAGCCCATTTCAAAGGGACATGATAAGGGAACTTTGGGAATATTGAATATATTCACTATCTTGATTTGTAGTGATGAGTTCAGGAATATAATGTCAAAATTTATTAAATTACGCATTACAAATGTATGCAGTTTATTGCATATCAACTATAGCTTAAAACTCTTTAGAAAAAATAAACTACAGCATAACAATTTTAAATCGCTTTTTAAGAGATATATTAGAAGGCGAATAATCAGTGGTCTACGATGCTTAAGACGCTACAAAATAAACAGCAAAGCACAAAGTAGAGGAAAGGGAATACAGTGAAATAGAAAATAAAAGAAAAATAAATTTAGTACAAGCCACCTCTCACTGCAACTGTCCAAACAAGGGCCTCAAAACACCACACAACTATACCTCCATAAAGGAAAGCGACTGTGGTTCCAACCATTCTTTTGAGCTCTTGCGCTTGGGAAATGTGCCAGTTACCAAATCATCATTGTCCCCATTTTTCATTGCGGTCACATGTAGCAGAGCCCCTAGAAAAACTAAAAATTAGTTCATTTCGTAATTAAACTCTGCAGTTATTCCTTCTCCTATTTAATAATGACCCTGGATGCATAGGAATCCTGAAAACTGGTCGTGCATGCTTCTCCACAGGGTTCTTTTGTTTTCATCAGCCTCTTTCAAGTAGGGCTCTCTGTGAACCCTCAATTGCTCCAAAATGCAGCAATCAGACTGGCCTCTAGGAATCTCATTCCCAGCAGTTTGCTAACTTTGATAGTCATGAATGGGGCGAGTTGCAATTTTCTGGCTACTTTAGTATAAATGAGCCTTTGGCGGCTGGGGCGGGGG